TATTCCTATGTTTCCTTATTCCTTTCATTGTGCGCAGCCCTTAAAGCTAGATGGCGATGAATAGGCGGGAAAGAACTCGTGGAAAGCCGGTGCCAGCCGGTGCGCAGTTTTAGCTGCATTAAAAATGCACGCTTTCCTGAAAACCGGAAAACTGGGTGCTCCAGCAGCGGAGGTGAAGAAACCGTCGACCTCTCAAGCCAAGGACAACAAGAAGGACCTGACGCCATGGGTGGAAAAATAGTGAGTGCGCGTTAAGGCAAGATTAACCTCTCGATCTTTCACGCAGAAATAGACATTCCGCACTGAGTGTAAGGGCTACGGCACACAGAAAAACTTGAGCAGTAAGACATAAACAGTAAAGAAATCAATATGTTGGATTTGTCACTGTTTATATTACGGTCTCTACTATGATTGACCAATTAGCTTGCTGCTTACGTTTTACTGCTCGAAGTTTTTTGCTGCCATGGTCCTAACTCTTAACGACAATGTCGATATTGTTATATTATTATTGCGCAGGTTTTTAGCCATATATAATGTCTGCGCAATGATAATATAATATCAACATTGGCATTAAAAGTTACAGAATCCCAGTATTGCTATTAAACTTCCAGAACTGGTGATGGATCTGGACGTGTTCATAGGCTTATTCAGATAAATCTGCACAATTGTATAAATATGTAAAGAAAATTATCCAGTTGCATTTTACATAAGTATTTATGAGAGAACTACGATTGGATCATTTCCTTTATATATGATTACAGAACTATGCAAGTTTGTCTAGATGGATTATCACCTATAGTATAGATTTTCAAGGGACGTCCTAAAGATATTCAGAGAATGTTCCCGTGTCTTCTGAACGACTCCAGATGTCTGTGGACTCAAATTATATTCCTTCGGAGTTGATGATAGATCTATTAGAGTCAATGATATCCTTTGTCCAAAATTTAAATATATTTTTTCTTTTATTTAAAATTCATTATTTACATTGTCAAGTATTGATTACTGGCAATATACACAAGTTTAAAAAACAAAGGATAATTCACAGCAATGTCAAATCAATTTTTGAGCTAAATGTTTAAATGGTTTATAAGTTACAAATTAATAATGTCTAATATTTTTGCCCAAGGCTGTTTCACAGATCAATAACTATGTTATAGATTTTGACTTCAGCTCTGGAAGATTATACTTCATTATTTTCTTTTATTTAAATATTTTTATCAAGAAATTATGATTTTTCCTTTAATGTAAGAAAATGAAAAGAATTAGGCTTGAGGATAAATGTTTTCATTTTATTCATATTTTGTTTAAAGCCGACCGAAAAATGTCGACGATATTGTGGAACAAACGGAGGTGGTGAATGTGATACGGCAGGCAATGGAACACGGAGATTTTCCCAACATGCTGTTTTATGGGCCACCAGGTACAGGCAAGACTAGCATCATCCACGCAGCCGCGAGGCAGATGTTTGGTAGCATGTATAAGGATAGAATACTAGAACTGAATGCTTCTGATGACAGAGGTATTCAGGTTGTAAGAGAAAAGATCAAATCCTTTGCGTTACGCCGAGCTAATCCTAACGGACCAGAGTAAGTTTAAGCAAACTTTTCTTAATCTAAAGCCACAGTAGCTTTTCGCAAATCCATCTTTGTAAAAATTTACAATAATGAATTGTGCATAAAGTAATAACAAAAAATTATTTGATTAAATGACTAATGCCAATGATGAACCAGTAAAAGGTCTGAAGACTGCAGAATTTCAGTGCAAAAGATTGTTCAGAAAAAGGCACTTTGTTGTTATCAAGGAGAATTAATGAAGTGTTTTAGTATCTCTTATTAGCAACAAGACAGAAAAAATGCTCATAATTGCAGAAAGAACTGTAAGATTAGTGAACTTCTGAGACATATGAGCAAACAACTGCAATTTTCAAATATTTGCGTGAGTCGCGAAAAAAATAATTGGTGATTAATCGGCGCGTTTACTTAAACTATAATTGTAAGATTTACAAAAAAAAAAATATCATTAGCACCAACATGCGTTTTGACTAAATGTGATCTTTTTTTAATTGCATTGTAAATTTTTTATAATTTTTATTATTGACGAATATCAAGTTAATCTGACGCGAATATTTGAGAGTTGATCATTTCATTTGAACATCTCGCGCGCTGTACTGCAGTTTATGATCAAAAGTGCAAATCTGAGGCATAATATAATTCTTATTCAATTAAAATTTATAAAAATAAAATAGTAAAATACAAGAATAATATAAATTTTTTATATTTACAGCGGGAAGAAATGTCCGCCATTTAAAATTATCATCCTAGATGAGGCAGATAGTATGACTGGTGCCGCGCAAACAGCCCTTCGTCGAATTATGGAGAAAGAGTCGCACAGTACGCGCTTTTGTTTAGTGTGCAATTACCTGTCGCGAATCATCAAGCCGATAGCGTCGCGCTGTACGAAATTTCGATTTAAGCCGCTGAGCGATGAGAAGAGTATTGCCAGGCTCGAGTATATATGCAATGAAGAAAATCTAAAGGCCGATAAAAGCGTCTTAGAAAAAATCGTTGAAGCATCAGGTGGTGATTTAAGACAGGCTGTCATGTGTTTACAATCGATCACGCGATTGAAGGGAAAAGACTATGAAATCACTGCAGATGATGCACTCGACGTTATTGGGGTAAATATATATTCTTGTAAAAAACATAGAACTTTTTTATATGACTAAACTAGTAATTTTGAATTATACATTTATTACTTCAGCTAATTCCCGATGAACAAATTAATATACTGTGGGAAGCTTGTAAAAAAGGGAATTACATTAATGTCCAGAAGTCACTTGAAAATTTGTTGCTGGAAGGATATCCAGGAGCAAAGGTACTGTCTTAATTATTTTTGCCATTTTAGATGTAAAAAACTTCGTTAAATAATGATAGAAGAAAAGTAATAAATATTTTATCATACATATTGCTTAAGTCAATTTTGTTTAATTTTATTTATGTTATATTTCAGGTAATTGAACAATTAAACGAGAGAATTATTTTCTCCGATGAATTAACTGACAAACAAAAGGCGATAATTGGCGACGTGCTCGGCGTAAGTGGCTTTTTATGTAAATGTGCATACATATACAAAAAAAAAAATAATACAAGGGTAATTCAACTTCTGTCTAGAATTTTAGTAATGAACGGAACTGTATATGTTATTTAGTTCCAATTTAGGTTTTTTTTTTCTGAGTATTCCGTCTTCATATGCTGATATTTCTCCCAATGTCTTGGCTGTGATGCTATGCCTACAGAATAAGTCTTTGGACTGGCGTTAAAACTGTTCAGCGAAGATCGCCGATCTCCTTTTAAATATTCCTGACTTTTATAGACCATTTATATATTTAAGATTGAAAAGCGTGTTGCCAACGAATTGAGTTTGCAAACGTAGTAAAATTTCTGAAGGATTAATTACTTCTTTAGTCGAAAGCTTGATTGAGCTTTACTTTAGCTTGCACTGAATTAACTTTTTCCATGTTCGCCGCTATTCTATAACTAGTAATATAGTACGTCTCGGATATCAGTCTCACTCTAGCAGAAGGGATTCTACTGTTATGAGAGATTCAATAGTCGTAGGAAATTCGGCATCTTTTTGAGAATTTGAAAATTCTAGATAGAAGTTGAGCTATTCATATATAAACCGCAATGTAAATAAGAAAAAAATTTTCTTTTTTAGGAATGTGATTACAGATTAACAGAAGGAAGCGATGAATATATACAACTATTAAATGTGTTTTCTACTACCTTGATGGCTTGCAAATGATAAGAAAAATTAATTTTCCTTTATGTAATATATTTATATTCGTAGGTTTATGTTATGTAAGTACTATAAAGATTTTATATATTTTCGTAGAATTGTTTACGTTATTTTAGGATTTATTGACCTTTTATAATCTTTAGGTATATCAATGTAAAGAATAGTTAAGATTGTTAAAATGTGCAAACAAAATTCTTTTAAATATTTTAGAATTGGAAGTTTTAAGGAAAATAACTGTAACCTTTTAAGGATTGGCGGATCAATTCACTCATCTACACCTTTTTTTGCGGTGCAGATACATATCTGCATTTTATCAGATTTTTCTTTTAGAAATATTTTGTCATAAGACTTCTGCCTCATATTTTACGAAGCAACGAAAGTTCGTACAGAATAGACAAATTTTGCAATTTAATTCTTAAAACATGTAATAAATAAAATCTACACCTTAGCTGTACTTTAATGCAGATATCGGAACGATTTCCCTTTTTTTTTTTCAAATTGCTCTAGAAATACCTTCGATTATGAATATCACAATTACATTGTTAGTTTCTCAGTATTTTAATATAATTTCAGTATTAAAAAAAAATTCGTTTCAGAGAATTTCCTGATAAGCTTTAAAGTTCCTAGCTAGCTATAGGGAATAAAAACACCAAGATATAAAATATAACTAGCACGTTCAGATATTCTTTATCTAGGGATGTATATGTCTCTGAAAACAAACTAGACACAGTAGCGCCACATTTCCTAGAAAATCTAGGAGCTTGATGCTGACCAATTTCACAAACGCGCATCTAAAATATTCCTATACTTCGCTTCGAATTTAATTTTCCAGACTTCAAAAAGACAAAGCGTCATCACGAACAATCGCAGCGTCGGATACAAATTATAACGAGCCGTGAAAACAATTCCGAACGCGTGCAAAAGGGAATGTCCTCAATTACACGGAGAAAACCCATTCCGGCGTCGGTGGGAACGGGGCTCTCAGCGTCTCGGCGCCGGCGCCGTTCGTTGAGCACCACTGACGCTCGGCGTGTAGGGGCGTCGTTGCTACTGCGTGCAATGTGTATCGTGTAGGCGTTGGCGAGGAAGGAGGCGAGAGCCGCGAGACCGCCGCCGTCGCCGCTCGCTCTCTTCAGGGGACGTGTCGTTCGTGAAGGGGGTTAAAAGAAAAGGAACAGCGTGCGCATTTACGTGTTCGGCAAGCCGGTGGCCGCGGTTCAGCCGCACGTGCGTCATTTTACGTGGGTACCTCGCGCGTCGCGTGCGACCAGTTCGGATTTTCCCTTTTCGCTCCGAAAGAAAAACGGCTCTAGCGCTCACTCGCTCTTGCTCTCCGCCCTCTCTCCCCCCCTCCTCCTCCTCCTTCTCCTCCTCCTCCGTTCGCCGATCGTACTCTGTGCCTCTAGAGCGGCTCGTCTAGCCTCGTTCCACGACACGACGGAGCCACGTCTCCACGTTCCCGATAACGCGGGTGGATCATTGTTATTCCGCGAGTGGTGGAAGGTCGCCGACGACGCCTCCTCCCTCTCCCCCTCCCCGCGCGAACAGCGTCCCCGTGGTCGGTGTCGCGTCGTGAAAGAAAGGGGAACGGACGGGAAGGAACGGGGGGCGTGAACGACGCCGCCGCCGCCGCCGCCGCCGTCGTCGTCACTGCAGCATCGTCCTTCACTACGTCGTTTTGGAGTAACGACGTTTCGGAGGAGTCACGTCGTTTCTCTCCTCGGCGATATCTCTCCTTCTCTTTCTCTCGCCCGCTGGCGTAGAGGTCGTGACTTCCGGAGAGAAAGGAGAGAAAGAGAGAGAGGTACAGAGGGAGAAAGAAAGAGAGAGAGAGAGAGAGAGAGAGAGAGAGGGTGTGTGTGTGTGAGAGAGAGAGAGAGAGAGAGAGAGAGTGAGAGAGTGAGAGAATACTCGCGAGAGCGGAGCACCGCGAGAAAGGCGTGCTGACCGCGTTCCTCGGCAAACAGGACCAGCAGCAGGAGGTCGATCTCCGTTGGATCCTCGTGACACTTCCTGACGTTACCACGACTCACCTCAAAACGGCTCGGTCTCGTTGTGATCCACGAAGGTGCATCGCTCCGACTGTCGCTCCAACGAGGTCTACAACCGTCCCTTTAACGGAGGTCCATTTTTACTCCGGCGGGGATCTCGCGGAGGTACGTTAAGAAGAGATATTAAAACGCGCACGGTGGGACACCTTTGGAGGAGGATCGCGAGTATGTTCCCGTCGCGAGGACGCTAAAAACGAAGGAGGGCGACGAAGAGGAAGACGTTTCTGCGAGCCGCGAGCTTCCCGCGAGAGATGTTCGGCGCCCTGAGGGGAGATCCGACCGGCGAAGCGGGCGGCTAGTTGCGGTGCATGCCTCGGCGCGGCGGTGCATCCCTGCCGCATCCTGCGCGATCCTGACGGTCCTCCGCCCGTCCCAGCGAAAAAAAAAGAGAAGAACAGGGGATAGGCAGGCGTTAATCTCGACGACGAGACTCGAGGGCGCGTCGACGCGCCGCCTGGCCTCTCCTCTGGATTCGGTGGAATTTCAATATACGTTCGAAGGATCGTCCGTTAAAACCGGGGGGTAAGAGGACTACGAAACGGTACAGCCGGTACGCGCCTCCATGTGCGCGTCGAGGCCCTGAGGAAGCGCGCGTGGCCCGACGAAGCAGGACCTCGTGTCCGCCCTTCGTCGCTTCGTTAGACTCGCGAGGATCGGAAGACCTCGGCGGAAGAACTCGCGTGTCCCATTCTCCGTCGTCAAATCGTCCCGATCTCCCCGGCCCCGTCCGCCCGTCTCCTATACGTGATAACGCGTGACTCCGGCAGTGGATAAAGGCGTGGATGGTACCGGCAGGCTTGCGGGATCGCTCGACAACAACGACGGCAGTCACGAGGCGGATCGCATTACCTGCGGCAGTAACGGGTGTCACGGCTGATACGTGGAATGTGACGGGATACGTCGCGAGCGGAGTAGCGAGTCGTAGAAAAGGTAAGTCGGGGAGAGACAATCCAGCTCGCGAGTATATTAGTAGTATATACGTACCATCGCAGAGTATATCTTCCGCATATAGTACCAATATATACTATGTATCTACTGGTAAGATATACCATATATATACTATTAATACATATATATATATATATATATATATATGTGTGTGTGTGTGTGTGTGTGTATAAATTGATTACAGTACATGATGAAGAAGTATTCCAACATACGCTTATTCTTCTCCCCATCGAAGCCTATCTACTACGTAGGTTGCAATATTATCATCATGCTTGTAACAATAATTTTTTGTTCTGTTCTGTAGCTAGCGTGCGTCCTCAGGTAGGCTCAGAATAGCTGTCTCACTGGCGCCTCACCTTTTATACTCTAGTGATAAATAAATAAAAATAAAGCCAGATCTACGCAGAGCGTGGGTGGGCAGGTCGCGAACGAAATGTATTTCACATTATAATAGGTCGCAGGCCGCGTAAGATCGAAGTTTACCCAAGTTTCCTGCGTCCTGCGACCTATTATAATTAAATATATTGTACGTTAGGTGAGTTTTCTGGTCTTGCGACCCTCATTCTGCGTGCCACGTAGAGCGGACTTGAGATGTACCACTAATATACGCCAGATATTAGTATATACGCGGTATATCTTACGCATATACGTAAGATACGCGTCGAGGAGGAGCCAATAGTAGCTCCGAAGACTCGCACGATTATATATATACCGAGTGTCCTGTTCGCGTATTCTCTTTGAACCTGCGGCCGCCGCGTGGTGCTCTTAGCGTGGCCGGCCCGGTCTCTCCTGCAACAACCTGAATTTATCGAGCAACGCGGCACACTCGCCGCTTTGCGTTTAATAATGAAGTGCCACCTTCAAGGATCGAACTTCGGGAATGCAAATGGGACTTTTATCCAGCCTTTAACTTCGCCTAGTTTTTAATTTCATCGGATTTTGATACACTTTGAAGAAACTTTGACTTGGACAAGGGGGAGAAAAAGTATCATCATATATATTTAATACGCAAATTTTAATCCTAGTATCTCTTTGGATCACACTTAAATATCTGAAATTTCAATCAACAAATTAAATGGACGATTTAATTTGTGGTATTATTATTCCTGGCTATATACGGTTTAGGACTGCACTTTCAAGGCTGTGTTTGACACGAAGTTTGAAGAGCTCCGGGGAGTGTATTTTAAATATTCATATAGGAATTATTATTCGGCCTATTACTAGGCCAAGATCTAGTTATAGCTTCGACCGTATTTGGCGTTTCTTTACTTATTTAATTTATTTAATTAACAAAATTTTATTAGAATTCGTTGTGAGAGAAAAATATAAAAAGCCTTTTATCCCTATTAAAGTGATAATTAAAATGATAATTGCAAAGATTTTGTAGACTCATAAGATTGAAAATTCAATAAAATGAAAGAGGGTTAGATATTGCTTATTATATATGTATAATTATAGGTTTAATTTCTTTTATTATAACACTGAGAAGATGACCGTAGTAAAAGTCGAAACGTTTGGCAACTTTGTGACTTACAATTGTAATATCTGTTAGCACTAAGAACTTACTCGGCTCACTAATCCTCTTTCGCTTTATTTAAACTTGCAATATTTCTGAATCGCTGGATTTTCTTTAGGACACCCTTAAAAACCTTAAATGTTATACGGTAGAATCCTCTCGTTTCTTAAACTTCTTAAATTTAAGATCTTACATTCGTTTCCTTTTTCTATCGTCGATTTCGCAGATATTCAGGTCTCTAAACGCCTCGATCACTCCCGAGCTTTGGCCTTTGAGTTCTCCCAAGTTAAATAAGGATCTATCGTACAACATTAAATCTGGAGTTCGTAGTACACTTTCGTGCCACACGTACGCCCTTTTTTTTCCCCTCTCTTTCTCTCTCATACACAGACAGCATTTCACTTGCAATCCGGCCGCCCCAAATCCCCTTTTCAGTTATAAAACGAAACTAGAACGTACGAGTGTTTCGAAAATAGTCATACTCGTCGATTGATTATTCACGTGGATTTTCACGCGGTCGCGACCTCGGTATACCCCGTGAATGATTATCGTGAGATTCGGACATAATTTGCATTATCCGTTTAAGCGGGTTCGACCAATCGCGGTGGGCAATTCGATTAATTATAATTATGTTACACTAATGAAGCTATTCATCGTCCCCGATCCGACTCGTGAGGCAAGGAGGCAGGTCTTTGAACTCCTGGCTGGCGTGGTTATCAATTCTCGAATTAGATCTACGATAGTGATATCGACACATATGAATAATCGACCGTTGTCTACGGAAGACCGAACGAGTTATATTTTTTCATTAGAAATATACCTATAAGCACACAATATTCCTAAAATGTTATATGAATGTATTATATTTATCCTTTTAATATTCGTATTTAATATTCTAGGAATATTGTGTCTCTTGTAGGATATAACAGAGGCTGCGACCAGGAGGACTTTTCAAACCATAGGAGTGAGCAAGAAGGATACAGAGGGTGTCTCAGACTTTGCGTGACACCCGTTAATAGCAGATTCTTCGAGATTTCGGGACAGGAAGTCGTAATACCAAAATGTCGAGTGTATAATAGTTTTTAAAGTTGAGAAGAGTTCAAAGTTAGCCAACAGAACTGTCCAAAATTGGCGCGCTCGAGCATGGCACATAGTGAAGATGTTTTCAAGCATCAATTCTATTTCTATAATATCCTTTCTTCTAATCATCTTTACACTGTACAATGTGCCATGCTTGAGCGCGCGAATGTCGAACAGTTTAATTCGTTAACTTTGATTGGCTAACTTTAAATCTTTCTTATTTAAAAAGTATTGTAGCCTCGACGCCTTTTGATATTAGCATTTTCATCTCGAAATGATCTCTGAAATCTGCTGTTGAGTGTCACGTGAAGTTTGAAATATCCTGTATATATTGTTTTTTTTTTATGTATGTTGTCTCGAACTGATATTATTTTATTAATTCTAGCTTAGGTATTAAAATTGACAAAAATAGCTACCAATGAAAAGTTCGTCTCGTAGATTTTATCATAGAATTTCTACTTTTGACTAAAAATATAAACTATGTTTGTAACAATTATGACTGCAATAATTCCCCTCACGGCATAATATGAGAATGACATTCGTGCATTACTGAAAAAAAATGTTCTGATTAAACGGGCAAAAGAGCCCAACAAGAATGGCACTTTGTTGAAACCAAACAGAATTTCTGGTTGTCATAACCAGAATTTCTGTTTGGCCTTGCCAAAATGTCATTCTTGTTGGGACCCCTTTGTGGGTTTAATCTGGATATTTTTTCTCAGTGTAAATTAACAAAAGACTTAACAGTTCATAAATATAACAAATATGTCTATACAATAGAGATGACTAAGTTCGAAATGTTATGGGAATAATAATTTTATTAATTCACATAAATAAAAAAAAAATGTTATCAATTTTTCTCCTGCGTTTGCTCGTTTAATTTGATTCTTCACTGTTATTCTCGTTGCAATATAGATTTAATTATGTTTTTATCTAAAATTAAAAAGGATCGATAAAAAAATAAGACTTGTAAAATATAAATGGACAAAAGGGAAGCTATATATTTTAGTCGGATATTTGGAATAAATATATTTTTAAATATGCATATATTAATGTTTTCGAGATAAAATAAAAAGACTAGTGATTTATTAATTTACCCTATTTTACGAGAAAAATTATAAAATAAAATAAAATAATTAATACGAACAGAATAAGAAAAGAAAAGGAAAATTCAAATTTAGTTTATTTTGTAATTATTTTGTGACTCCCAAATTTCGAATCGAGGCGAAACGACGCGCTATATGATGGAACTTAATTTCAGTAAAAATTTAAGTTGAGCATAACAATTCGATTCGAAATTCGAGGACCGTAACCGTAAAATACATAGGCTATAAAGAAACGTGTTCTTGAAGTGTTTTTCTTTATCGAAATGTTTTATGTTCAGAAGACAAGTGTCTCAGGTATCAAGTCAGTCACATTTATTAATTAGATCGACTCTTAAGATACAAGGTTACAATACAGAACAATGATTTCTAAAACCGTGACAGTAATTCCTAAAAAATTCCGGATCGTATATCTTCGTGTTTTATATAGTCGACTTTAATCGCGGCCAGTTAAAATCGTCAAACGGCAATCGATTTATACAAATCATTTATACGGGATATGCAATAAAAGAATCGCGAATTTGCGAATTTATTAATTCCGTTCACAATTCAATTATAAACATACAGTATCCTCTTATAATTTGATTCGACTGACGCCAGTGTAGGAAGCTTCGCTTCCTTCGGTCGCCTTGCAAGTAGAGTCGCGACGACGGAAACGGCAATCGTAAGAATCCACAGAAAACGAAGTTCGTCTTCCGCGTTATCAGACGACGTGCGTCGTCGCGGGGGATCGATAACGAAGCCAAGCGTATTTATCCCCGAGAGCAAGTCCAGACCAGGCGGGCCGCGATAAAGCTCGAAAGTTAATATCTTTTATCTCGGGAAGAGAGCGAAGGCTCGCGCGCGCAAGGAATTCCCATTTCTCCCCTTTCCACCCCTGTCTCACTCCATCTCTTTATCCCTCTAGACTGCTTTCCACTTTTCGTGCTTCTAATTAAGCCGCGGTCGCGCCGAGAGCAGTACAAGCCGGAAATAGAAAATTAGAGCGAGCCGCCACCACCACCCCCACCACCCCCACCACCATCGCCGTCACCGACGTCGCCGGCCATGCGGGATTTGAGATCCTCTTTTCGGATTTGAAAATCCGCCGGTACACAGATCAAAAATTCGCCGAAAGGTCACCCGCAGGACCCGAGAGAAATCCAACAAATAGATTTTTCTTGGAATATATGAAACATGCTATATAAATCCTGTTTCAATCCTGTTTACTGAAATGTTAAAACTCAGATATAAGGGCCACGTGAAGTTTTCCCCGATTTCCAGGACCGGCGAATTTTCCCCTTTCT